AATTTTTGCGGCGGGAGCTGGTTATAACCCGAAAAGTTCGTTAGTAGAGGCGTTCGTATCCCGAGGTACCACTGTATTAGCAAATACCCATGCTGTTCTGAGATTAGAGAGTAAATGATATAATTTGATGCACAAAAAAAAAAATCCGATTGCTATTATCACCTATGTTAAAGCTTAGCCTACATAGTTATAATATGGCTATACTTCTGAATTAATTATTTCTAGGAAAGTGGCAGCACTGATGTACAAAAGAGCACAATCATAAGTGAATACACAAGTCCTGCTATCAGGTGGGTACATTCTTTCATTTTTGTACATTGAGCCTTAAGGTAAAAACAAATATAACATCTGGCTGCCTGAAAAGTACCTTTAGCCATATAGGTGTTCCTCTCTAGAACAAAGCCCCTAACCAAAATTATAATACTATATAATATGATTATGATATAATTATATCACAGTAGACAACCCGTGACCCTTTGGGTCATCCTTTCAGAGATATTTCCTTACCTAAACAGAGAAACAGAATGACCACAGGCAGGCAAAAAAGCAGTGGGAGCAGGAGCAACTTCCAACTTCCTGCCAGCTTCTCCATTGACTTTGCTTGTGGGAAGCTGTCAGGGAGTGCCAGAAATCACTCCTCCTCCTCCTCCTTGGCTAACCTGCGGAACTGCCTGCCACTTTGCTGGGGGGATGGTGAACAAAGGGAAATGTGGGCCATGAGGAAAACTGCACCCCTGCTCCCCATCCTGGCGTGTCCCCATAGGCCCCCTCGTTCCAGGGAGGAAGAGGGCTCAGCCATAAACTGCCGGCATCCCCCAGCCAACCCTACCTTACCAGGAGGCATCTGAGTTGTTCCCTCATTCTTCCCTTGCCACCCCCCGCTATTAAGAGATTTCAAATTTCAGCCTCAGTTCCAAAGCAGCCAATCATTGCTTGTCCGTTGTGCCTTGCCGCCAGCTGACTGGGTGTAGCGGTGGGAGCAGGAGTGACTTCCAACTTCCTGCCAACTTCCCCATTGACTTTGCTTGTGAGAAGCTGGCGAGGAGTGTAGGAAATCACTCCTCCTCCTTGGCTGACCCACGGAACTGCCTGCCACTTTGCTGGGGGGAGGGAGCCATGGACCACAAGGAAAACTGCACCCCTGATCCCCATCCTGGCATGTCCCCAAGGGCCCCCTCCCTCCAGGGAGGAAAAGGGCTCACCCATCAACTGCTGATGCCCCCCAGCCAGCCATATCTCACCAGCAGGCATCCCAGTCAGTCCCTCATCCTTCCCTCACCACCAACTACTGTTAAGAGATTTCAGATTTCAGCCTTGGTTCCAAAGCAGCCAATTGCTGCTAGCTGATTGGGTGCAGGAGCCAGAAGGGGGTGGGGAAAGGGTGGGGATATGCCCCTCCCATCTTCCCTTGTGCCATGCAACCTACAGGTTTCTGGGAAGTGTAGCTGAAAGGTGCAGTGGCGCTGAAGTGGCCACAACTTTGCCAAATTTCAATCCACAGGAGTAATGAGTCCCGGATTTTGGATGCATTCTGTAAGTTAGCCCATTTGAGGTACCTTAGTTCAAAAATTGTTGCTCTATGATGCATCGATTTACCCAGTTGAAGGTTACAGACACAAGAGTTTTAGTAATATATAGCTAAAATATAATAAAACTGAGTACTTAGCCATTGTGACATTGACAACAAATCCTTGTTTTTGTTAAATGTGAACTTATCAATAGAAAAACTTAATTGTGGTGCTCTTCAAATAATAACGCTGAGAGACAGATTTGAAGGATGAGAGTAGTGAGGCTGATGGATGGCAGGCTCAGAAGTTTAACATGTTAAAATGTATATCTGGTAAGAGCATGAGCTGAAAGTCAGGCTCACATTGTGGGTGAAGAATCTATTGCAATGTTGCTTTAAATATTAGAGTTTTGTCACTAATCTGTTTTCCATTTTTGCACAGTTAGAAGCTTAATACTGAGGGAAATAAGTGATGCAGCAAACTGTAACCATAAGATTGTTTTTGTGTTTCCTGGTTCACTACTGCTGGACTTTCAATTTTTCAATTCTATTGGCAGTTGGTAGGTCCAGAAATGTGTGGCAGCATCCTTCCCCAGACTTGGTGCCCACAAATGTGTAGACTTCAGCTCCCTGAATTTTTACCATCAGCCATGCTGACTGCAAAATTCCAGGAGCTGAGGAGCACATCTCTGAAGGGCATCTAGGACTGTAAGAATAATGTACATTCTCTATCTCTACACATATTCACAGACTATGCTAAGTCATTGTTTGCTTAACCATGATTTAGTGAATAAAACACAATTCCTAAATAAGTTTTTTTAAGAACCTAGTTATATTTGCCTCCATAATCTGAACACTGGGTATAAATCTTAAAATATAAAGTTATTGTGTCAACATAGTTACTATCTCAATAATTACGATGCAGTTACAGTACTGTAATTAGGAAGTCATTATAATTTGCAGCTGTTTATGAAGTATATCTGCAGCCCCCTCTTTGGTTATTTTGTGATGTGTGGAATTCTCATCATTGTTGAAAAGCCCTTGAACAGAATTTCTTCAGGTCCCTGACAGGCCACAGCAATCTTTACCAATTTCCTCCTCCCTCTGCAGTCTCTAGAATTGTCAGTCTGAACTCAACCTGGGTGAAAGGATGGCTTGTAGTCTTTCCTTCCTTTCCTCTTTCCCCCTGCCCACTCATCAGCCTGCCTCAGTAGTAACATGCTCTATCCAGAAAGCACAACTGCATTTGTTCACACAATCTAAAGCGTAATACAGAAGCAGAGAATAAGTGGATGCGTAGGTAAACAGACGAAGAAATAAGCTGTAGAAATGAGAAGTTGTGCCTTGGATGTTATATAATTATTCTTGCCTCTCTTAACTACTTTAGTGTACCTGTGTATTAGAGAAGCAAATCAAGTGGCATGATAAATTAAATTAGACCACTAGAATTAACAATCAAAAGACCAAATTTGGAGTATAAAGTTCTTTCCTTAGAATTTAATGGATAATAGTTGAAGTGCCTGGCAGATATTTGGGGTGGGGAGGTGGGGATTCAAAGCCCTTATCTTAAATACTCACCCATCTAACATCTGTAGACAAGGACGCTTGGAAAAGGGCTACCACTGATCATCTCAGCTCACGTGTATTCATAATTTATTCTTCTGTGCTCTTTCTAGGAAGAGGAAAGACCTTGAAGAGGAAGACGTTCCAGAGAAGGAGGCTCTATATAACAGCTCTTCACGGACGGACCAACCTGAGCTGTTTTACTTCATTATTTTCCTCTGGGTACTGGTTTATTGCTTATTACTCCTTCCACAGCTTGTTAGCAGCCCCCTCTGATCTCTGTGAATGCATCAGAGTAATAAAAGCAGCTCAAAGTTTATGTTTATGTGCCCATAATCCTTTCTTCAGGATGTAGTAATGCCTGCCAAAATAACAGACCATGATAAGAAAGAAAGAAAGAAAGAAAGAAAGAAAGAAAGAAAGAAAGAAAGAAAGAAA